CTCCCAAATACACGCCCCCCCCTTCCCGTTTCATGGCAGCTGAAGCAACAGCAAGGCAGAAGCTGACAATTAGGCAAAGAGTCACTTTTTTTTAGTGCCATTATAACTTTGTCTGGATGAACCGTTATAACTCAAGGACTGTTGTCTTCAATGTGCTTTGACTGAGGGAGAAGGGACTCCATCTAATCAGGAGGTCAGGAAGGGCCCAATCAGCCACTTCCGGTGGCCCAGAGGAAGAAAGGGGGCTGCCCCACCTGGAGGCTCAGCCATGGGGCAGAGGAGGACAGTCCCTGAGCTGCCCTGATGAAGAATGGAGGCTTGTTGCCTGATGGATCCTGGCCAGTTCCTCAGTTCCGCTTCGGAGGAGCCCAACGCTTCAGGCTGGGGAAGCGAAACCGGAGCGACTCTGAGGCTGTTGGGGGTTGGAGGAAGAAGTGCTGCTCTGTTTGTTTCTGTGTGTGTGTGTGTGTGTGTGTGTGTGTGTGTGTGTTGGGGGAGGGGGAAACATGAAAAGAGCCTAGAAGTTCTGCTTTGATCAGGAGAGCGATGGGCTTCCCACCAGAGTCTGCCTGGATCTGGGACCAATTTTGTGTGACTGGGTGTGTCCGAACACACAATTGTGGGACCCATTCAGACTCTGCCGCCTCCTTCAGCTGCAGGGGGGGGACCCAGTTCTGGCCTGCTGAGGCTGGCGGGGGGCAGGGTGGAGTTTGACCCCTCCATCCCCCCCCATCCCTAGAAAGGATTCAGGCCATCTGAGGATAGGAGCCCTGTGGGATCTCTGCCTGCTGCAGCTGGGAGAGGGTTGGGGCCCTGAGCCTGGCCTGATCAGGTATCACCAACATTAGCTGATATCTTATCATCAGCCCTCAACATCTGGCAGCTGCCCAGCCTCCGATAACCTCATCTAGGTAAGAGAGATCATCCTGGTTAGCCTGAGGATGGGAGACCACCAGGAAGCACCTGGGCTACTGTAGAGGCTGAAACCCCTCCAAGACAAGGAGGGTGAAGCTTCAGGCCCTCCTCAAACTCACCTCCCTCAAAAGATTCACTTCCCATTCCTCTTATAGCCTGGCCTCATCTCCCTGGAACTCTGCCCCTCCCCCCTTCCTGCTGTTTGGAAGACCTCGTGGGAACCCAATTCCCCTTGTCCAGAAAGAGGGGACAGGGTTAGAGTAGAGCAGAAACCCTAAAGGGGGGCAATGAAGGGGGGGGTCTCACATTACTTGGTCCTTGCCCCCCACCTCTAAATACAGTAGCTTTAAAATCTTTCCCACCTTGATCTTGGGAGACTCGAACACAGGGCCCCATGGAACAAAATGAAATNTCAAGCTGAAATTGTTTTGAGTTCCTTTCTCACGTTTTCTACTTTCCAAGAACTCAGATATCTTTTCTGTAATGGCTCAACATTCTCTTCTCCCATTCTCTAACCCACAGTCCTTGAGCCAGTTCAATATGATTGCATATACACGAGATTCCAAAATAGACTTTTAAAAGCTAAAAAAACAAAAAGTCTTATATGCATGAATCAACCCAATTTGCTTTGTTTGCTGTTTGGATTTTGTTCCTGAAAAGTCACATTCTTTAAATATTCTATAAATATCAAATGATCATCAAGAAACATCTTCCTAAAAAAAAATGGACTGCCCAAACTTGTTATCTATTCTTAAGACTAAACAAGAAGTGTTCTATTCAAAGTCTTATCTTTCCTGGAGAAGAAAATGAATGAAGAATGCTGTGAGTATCCATGGAAACTTTCTTCAATGCTTGCAAGGCCTTCCTGCCCCATTGGACTTTATTTTTTTTATTTCCCTCCCCCCCCCCAATTAATAATCATCAATGGTAGCCTGGGCTTTGCACCAAATTCAGCACCACTACTTTCAATGAAATTTACTTCCAGGTATCTATGTTTAAGATTGCAGTTATGCTAATCTGATGAATAATATCAAATAAATTGAGAAGCTCCTATTTGCATTAGGGGGAAAAGCTCCTATCACTGACTCCCCATTCTCTTTTGAGATACCGAGTCTTTTCACTTACATGTCTTATGCTGCATGACTGAGATTGTCACAATGAACTTCTACCCTTCAAACTTGACCATTGTATTGCTGGTATCAGACTGCATCTTTGGCTTCTTCAGCATATCTAATGTAACAATTGTCTTAATTTTATTCTCATCATGCCTTATGAAACAAGGCAATATAATTCATACCAAACATTATGGATGTGACAGCATGGCAAGAGCCAGACTGTGATCATTTAGAGGTTTGCTCTTTTATACAATTAATCGTAATACATCTAAAAAGTGATACACATTTAATTTAAATCCTTCTAGTTTAATTTGTTCATTTGATCCAATTTATCCTTATGCAGCCAACTACTGTATAAGGCCTTTAGCAACTGCATGCAAGCATAGCATAAGATCTTCATGATCATCTTTAAACAGATTTCTTGAAAGGGAAAATAAAGACTGAGTTGTTGAAAGTTTGGGAACTGGATAGATTGCTATAGCATCCCACATATCTTTTAAGTCAATACTATAGACATAATTTTCTTGATCTTTCTGCTGATCTCTTGTTGATGTACCTGAGAAGTGGCTACTAATTAAGGAGGGATACAGTATGTAAGTACACTTGCAATATTATCGTACACTGCTTTTGTATTATCGCATTGTATTGTATTAAATACAATATTATTGTAAACAGTTTGGTTTAGTAGTTAAAGTCAAGAGCCAAGGTGGCGCAGTGGTTAAATGCAGCACTGCAGGCTACTGCTAGATCAGCAGGTCAGCGGTTCAAATCTCACCGGCTCAGGGTTGACTCAGCCTTCCATCCTTCCGAGGTGGGTAAAATGAGGACCCAGATTGTTGGGGGCAATATGCTGACTCTCTGTAAACCGCTTAGAGAGGCCTGAAAGGCCTATGAAGCGGTATATAAGTCTACTGCTATTGCTATTGCTATAAAGTGCCAGGCTAGAAAGCAAGGGGCCATGAGTTCAAGTCCCACCTTAGCCATGAAAGCCAGATGGGTGACTTTGGGCAAGTCACTCTCTCTCAGCCCAACTCACTTCACTGGGTTGCTGTTGCGGGGAGAAAAGAAAAAGGAAAGAGTATTGGGTATGTTCCAGAGGTGGGTTCCTACCAGTTCACACCTATTCGGTAGAACCGGTTTGTCAAATCTACCGAACCGGTTAGAAGAGATTACACCAGTGGACCCGGAAAGCAGGCCACACCTACAAAAGAGGTTCCAAATTTTTTTGAAACCCACCACTGACACAGAGAGAGAGAGAGAGACAGAGAGAGAGACAGAGACAGAGAGAGAAAGAGAAAGAAAGGAAGAAAGAAAGAAAAAAGAAAGAAAAAGAGTAAGAGAGAGATGAAAGAAAAAAGAAAAAAGGGACAGAGAGACAAAAGGAAGGAAAGAGAGAGAGAGAAAGAAAGAGAGAGAGAGAGAGAGAGAGAGAAAGGGAGAACACATGGCTGGCAAGCCACTCCCACAAAGGAGGCCACACCCACAGAGTAGGTTCCAAAAAAAATTGAAACCCACCACTGGTATGTTCGCCACCTTGAGTTATTTGTAAAAATAATACAAGTAGGAAATAAATAAATCTGCTAACCTTTTCCCAGGTTCTAGGAAGCCCATAACACCAACTGCCCTCTAGAAAGGGTCTAAAAGTTATTTTAATAGTATATATTAGCAGTATTCTATATAAAAAAGTTTATTTACTGCTTTATTAATGACAGCTGCTTATAAGCCACTGAGTTACAAATGTGGTGGTAGTGAAAATGATGTCACTTCCCTATTTTCTCTTTTATTCCTACAGAAAATTCCCTTTTTTAAAAATTACCACCACCAATTTATGATTTGTCATTGAGGCATTTATAAAACCCTCAGAAAAGCAGCTGTAGAATTGATTCATGGATACAACTGATTCATTCACAAGTTGAAGCCGGCAAAGTTCAGTTTAAAAAACCACAGATGAAAAATCTTGACCTCTAATGATTTTTCTCCTTTTTGCCCTTCTGGTTTAGTACTTGTTCATCGTGGGCGATCTTAGTTCTGTACAGGGCAGGCAAAGGGTGATGTGGAGCACAAACTGAAAGCTTATTACAAGCTGGGCTTCACTCAAATTAAAATTTTCACTGAACTCACTGGAACAAAATTAAAGCACAAGGTTTTTGGAAATGTAGCAGAAGCTACATTTTTGCAATCCGCTAGTCAGGTAAAAGGACTACAAAGCCAGAATAAGATATCCAAACCAGACATACCTAAACACTGCTGTTTACAAAATTGTTTGCTCCCTTGCTTTATTTTTTTTTGGGCGGGGGGAGGAAGGAAGAATATAGCATTTCTCTGTAAGCAAAAGAAATGGATTTTTGCCTGCTGCTCTGTTGATAGCACTCTTTGCTGTCCCTGTGACTGAGCCAAGAATTAAACCCTCCTTTTTTTCTGAAACATTTGACATCCATTCATTCTAGCATTGATTCTGTAAATGGAATGACAACAAAGGGGAGTTGTTATAAACAAAGATTTGGGATAGTTTCCCCCTGAGCATGCTTTTGCTTTAATTACAGTCTGCCAATATTTGCATGCCATTTGTCAGTGCCTTGAATTGAGCTGTTTTTTTCTTTCTTTCTCCCCTTGCTCATTGTTCACAAGAACAGTCAGAAAAAGTCCTGGGTAGCTCTTTCACGCCACTCTCTGGTTCAAGAGTGTGTTTCATTTTACATCGGCCTTCAGTTGTGATTTAGCCTTCGATACGGAGCTTTGTATTATCTTAAACCCACTGCATCACAATTTTATTGTTCAGCTGTGACCCGATGGACATCACAGTTCTGAGGATTTGCCAGTATATCACAAATTACTTTTCTGCATTTCATAGAAAGGTTCAAGTATTGTCTTATCACTTTAGCAGCATGATAACAAAGTTGGCTACATTAACAAGAACCTTGTTTATAGAACCTTGAGGTCAAATGAATTCATACATATATACCCCTCATGCTACAGTAGTCCTTGACTTAAAGTTCATTTAGTGACCGTTCAAAGTTACACTGAACAAAGAGACTTATGACTGGTTTTCACACTTACGACCATCGCAGCCTTCCCTTGGTCACACGATCAAAATTTGGATGCTTGGCAACTGACTCATATGGTTGCAGTGGTCCAGGATCAGATGGTCATGAAGGGGTCAGCTTTTGTGACCTTCTGACAAGCAAAATCAATGGGGAAACCAGATCCATTTAACCATTGTGTTAGTAACTTACCAACTGCAGTGATTCACTTAACAACTGAGGCATGAAAGGTCATAAAATGGGACAAAATCCACTTAACAAATGTCTCACTTAGCAACGGAAATTTTGGGCTCAGTTGTAGTTGTAAGTCAAGGACTACCTATATTCCCTTTCAGAGTAAGCAACATTATGAAAGTGCAGACACAATAAAATTCTTGATTTGAAATAGCTGGAGATCTTTACTTATAACTAATCCTACTAATCCTCCTACTAATCCCTAGGAGACTAAAGTCCTAAAATTAAGGACATCAGATAACAATTTCAGCTAATCTTGCTAATCTTGGTATCTTCCAAATGTGTTGGACTTCAGCTTCCCTAATTCCCCAGCTGACATGACAAATAGTTTGGGAATTATGGGAATTAATCCAATATATCAAGAAGATACCAATTTGAAAAAACCTCTTAAAATGTAAGTCACTATACTCAAAGATTTTTTAAGTAAAAAAAAAAAATGTTATTCTGCTGTCTAAAAAAACCAAACAGCAACTATTACTACTACTATTATATGCCTCAGTATAGCCAGACTCTTCAGATTACAGGTATAATTTTACATATTTCAGAATTAAATCTCCTTATGTTTAACTATCTTCTTAGGCTTTCAGCCTAGTAGAGCTTAAAACAGAAACTCCTTAAATTTTAGGTCCAGAAATCAACAAACAAGCACAAAAATTAAAACTTTAAATATATACATCCCTCAAAAGAGCAGTCTCTTCTCCCCCATCAATCTCTATAACTAAAATACAAATAGAAAGGTGGGTTTTAACTTCCTACAGGTATTGTTCCAATTTTAGTTTAAGTGCTGCTGAAGCAAAAACAACCTACGGTATATTTGTTTTAAAAAATAGTGTCATTTGTGATGGACTGCTTGCGTGATTAATGTCTTCCATTTTGATATTCAGAGGTGAATGCTATTAATGTTTGCATGCCGAACAGTTAGCTCCCCTTTAAAAAAAAAGAAAGAAAAACTAAGCCTTCCACATGTAGGGTTATCACCCAGCCCTCTCGCAGAAAAATGAAATATCCTAGGAAATATTGAAAAGGCAGAATATTTCTCTGGCTGTGAAAAGGAAGAG